CATGAAAAGTGAAAAGGCATAACAAAACAAACTGAGAACCTTTGTAAATAGCCTTCATATTGCCCACATCCTACTGGAATTGTATCACTTATTCTAAGAAAGAAGCCTCACAACAGTATCAGTGCACACATAATAATTGAAAGCCACATTTTTAACACAATAATTATTCTATATTTCTTTCCCGATAGCTGCACCGTAAATCTCAGTGTAATTTTACAAGAAAAAAGGTTGATACTTTGCTACCTGAGAATAAAAATTAAACAAAATATCACCTAAGCAGCCTTGAAGGTCACCTTAATGCTAAGGTCACATAAACCTATCAATAACCTTAGAGGTTCTTTCATTTCAAGCTGTACCAAGCAATTTTTTCTACATTTTCTCTTATCTTTAAATGTGTTTTCTTCACCTCTGAAACCAATAACTGGTATATCCTTTGTTTAAAGGCTCCCACCCTATTTCTGTTAGGGATGCTCTGTTTGTTTTGGCTTCAGGCAGAAAGCTTCTTCAGCTCAGCTGTATTCTAGAGCCAAGACCTGGAAAGATAGCATTTACTGGGGGATTGAATAGACAAAGTATTTCAGCTTTTTACCCCAAAGAAATCTTCTTTTCTCCTTTTAAAATTGCAGATATTAATCTTGCCCAGAATTTCCTAGATTAGATGACAAAGAAGTTCCTCACAGCCTGAGTATAAGTCTGTTTCACACACAGCATTTTCTCATTAAAAAAGAAAGGTTAGCAAAACTGCACTACTGTCATAACAGAATTGTTTTGACATTCCAAGTATATGAGGGTGTCATCCATAGAAATGCTGATTAGTGGCTAATGTGAAACCCAGGTCTTCCTTAAGTCAATGGAAAATGTGATAGCTATATCTGGGCCAACATGTCACAGTAACATTTCACAGCTGAGCTTTCATGGTCTCTTATGCTAACCTGCCCAGCTCTGTACGCATTGAGTAGAAATATTCGGTTAGCTGCTTTGTGACTTTCAGAAAGTGGTAAACTTCTTAAAACACGAATGCTGGTTTTTATATGCATGTCTGATCATGCCTATAGTTCTTAACTAAAACAGCATGATCCAGGAACCAGATTGGACGCTAGTGGCTATTCTTGCAAAGTTCAACAGTACTTCTTAAGCTAGTAAACCTTCTCTTCTACTGCTTAGGCTTTACAGACTTCAAAATGTTTCTTCTCTCATTAAAGTTGTTAAAGTTTCAATTGTTAGTTGTTCGTCTGCCGTGTATCTTTTTCTATAAAAGACAATTTTTTTGCATTACAGAATTATTCTTAAAATTTTTTTGTATTCAGCCAAAGAGCTCAACAACTTGAATGAAGAGCATTGAATTTGAGTCAAAATGTAAAGTGTAATGTGTCTGAAGGTGCATATTACATAAAGAAAAAGGGCTCTACTCTTCGCTAGGTGACTAAGAACTCTTAGTCTGCTGAGCAAAGTAAGCTGAGCAAAGCAAGCTTGTTCTTAGACGGCAAAGGTCTTGCGCTAAAATAAAGATGGCTATGTAAAAATGGAGGGAAAAGTAAGTGGAAATGAAGGTATTGAATCACAATTTACCATAGCAAGATAAAAGCTAAGTGTAAAAGTGAATAAACTCAAATTGTTAGCAGCCAGCTAATCCCCATTACAAAGTTCTTGAAAGAACTGGAAGATGAAACTGGTGGGTGAGAGGTAAAGGCTTTTCATATCTTTATGGCATGGAAATACAACGCTGTGACTGGAGAAAAGCAAATGAACCATCTGTCCTTAAGAATTGAGAGGGAGGAGAAAGGTGATGGGAAAATGCAGGCCCTTTAGTCTGACTGCAGTATTACAGAAGGCTTAAGACTAGTTTAAGGAAAAGGGAGACGAGGGGAGAGACAGAGAGAGACTATCATACAACTTTATTTATCAAAAGAAGCTTTTATCAAACTAGCCGTCCACGTTTTTGTGTTATTAAACTGATTTTTCAAGAGCTAGAAAATGTCGTAGCTCTTGTCAGTTTGGGCTTCAGTAACACATATGATGTAGTAGCATTTGAGAAACTGTGAGTTATATAGGAGAAAATTACAACTATCCTAAGAACTGTAAACTAGGCAAAGAAAGCAACACATAATATGAAGGAATTGGGCCAGAAGGCAGTTCTGCTCCTGGCCATTCATGCTCTTCAAAAATCTTGCTTGGTATTAACCAGTCTTGATAGCTCTTTTCAATTTTATTATGTTAGCACAAAAAGCAGGACTAGGCCAGTTCAGTTTGCTAGCACCACTGTGTTTGGAAATAGAGACAATATGGAGGATGACTGTAATATTACACAGAAAAACTTGGATAATCTCAGGCAGAGGGGAAGAAGGGAAGAAGTTTGATAGCATTACAGAGGAAAGACTTGTCAAAAAATACAGAGCCAAAGTCAGCTGATAGTAAGGATTTTCCCTATGGCTTAGGATGGAGTGAATTCTGTTGCACATCTGACCAATGGAGCAGGCAGTGCATTTGAATGTGCAAGGAAAAGAAAATATACAATTTTGACTGTGACTGACAACTTTGGCTGTGATTGACCCAAAGCTGAATCTGCCACTAGCTTGTTACTGTTAGGACAAAGTTAAATCTCTGGAAAATTTTCCTGCTATGAGTGTCTATTTACTGGAGCAGAATTACACAGTAGGGAAGGACAGTAAACTCCAAGGTGGATAAAGAGGTATTTAAGCTAAGGGACAATACTAATGAAAGCACAGACTCATTATGGGCAAATTTAGGATGGAAAGTAGAACACTTCTAAGCAGGAAGGCAACAAATTGCCCCTCTGAATTGCTGACTTTTGGAGCAATTATTGTAGTATGGAGGCTAAAATACCTTTTAAGAGAAAGCTTGATCCATTTATCACATGCATGACTTATGATTACTTGCACCAGGCTTGGACTTCAGGAGGTACCTTTCCACCTTACACAAAAACAGATTTAGACTAAGGACTTCACGCATTCCTACTTGAAAGTAACATCACTTTCAACAGTATTCCCACTGATAATATTCAAAAGGTATAATTAAAACTTTTACACAGGCACACCCACACATGGGCACCACTGCAAAAGGACTGTAAGTCCTAATATGTTCCTAGTAGGGCCTTTAATGGGAAGATTTGCAATTAGTGCCTGTTCAGATCAACTACAACAGAGCCTGAATGTTTGCCAGATGACCTTTCACTGTTGCTCATCTTGGCACCTGCTCAGAGCAGCTGATGTGCAAAGTGGGAACAAAGGCAGGGTCATAAAATCATTCTTTAAAAATTTTCAACCAAGACACTTGAATCAGTACAATCATTGATTCTTCTTTCTCTACTCCTGCTTTACACTGCAGATTGCTACACAGAAATTTG